GATAACATGGCCCAGTGATAAATTCTATAATCTGCAGTTCTCATATACATGAGTTTTTGAAACTTGAAAAGGAAATTAGTCCGAAAGAGTCATGCTCAGTTTAAACATGATGAAACAGCTGACAGTCCTCTAACATAATTTTCCTTTTTTTGGCATTCTTTGCATTTCTTTACAATTAGCTATTTATTCTTGTAGTGCACTGGTTCAGGTTTCTATTGACGCATGCATGGGATAGAAAAGGAAAGTCAAAGAACAAGAACATCGTTCCAGTTACTTACCTATATTTAAAACTACCGATTCCAATTTAATCCCAGCTATCTTTTTCTGAACAACTAAGCAAACATAAAACTAGGTGCACATATTTCATTTACTTCTGTATATATGTATCTCTCTTCCCCATTAATTATGACCTAATTAATCATCTAAGCAACTTATACTTTTGTGAGATTTCATAATTCTCTTTTCATCCTGAAATATTACATTTTCTACAATAAATTTGTTTTCAAATTTAAATAGGAAAACACAAATTTCACAATAGATAGGCTGTTAATTAAATAACTTAATTTTTAGTAATATAAAAAATAAAGATCTAACTATTCATCTACATTTCACACATATACAGAATAGATCATCATTCTTTGGAATAAAAAAAAATCAGAAGTGAATGTCACTTATATTAATGACGAAAATAGTCATATAATATTGTGTTGCATTGCGTCCAGTCACCACAAGAACAGTATTGATACTGTAGTTTAAAATCAGACTTAAAAAAAAATATGTTCCTTTCTCTTCTTGAAACTAAAATTTAATCTTATCTAGGTGTAATTTAGAAGAGAACCCCCAACATTTTGGTAAACAGGCAGACAATTTTCCAGTGCCCAGTCGGCATAAAATGGCTTGTAAGAGTGATAGCATTACCCTCTGGCAGAAAGATTGATTCTTCTTATTTTACCATTCTCTAAAAACGTGAACTTCAAATTTTAGGCCTTCAGTTACAACCATAGGAATATATGTGCAAGGGAGAAGACACATGGATAATATGGCAGTGACTATATGAAATGTTCCATGTAAAAATAAATCAATAATTGTGAAATTGTTTGTCTCTCTGCTTGGAAGATACTGTTATCCTGAACTTTGTGTGCTTTCTGCAGACTCCTTGGCCATGGAAAAATTGTCAAACTTATTTAGCAGATAATGTCTTTTTTTCATAAAACTACTGCAGAAGTTTTAGATATAGAAGATGTCTTTACTACCGTTGATAATGTCAGTTCCATTCCATCTTGCTACTCCTGACAGCATATAAATATTTAATAGTACTCAAAAGGTAAGTTGGAAAGAGGGACTTACAATTAATAAATGTATAAGCAATAAACTCAACATGAATACACTCAGTGTTTGGAAAAGTCTTCCAGTAAACCTAATTCAGTCATAAATAAGGCATGACTGCATTAACTAACTTGCATAGTCATCTCCATATTAGTGACTGCATTAATATCCTTACAGCTGGGACAACAAAAGGACATATTTCTTAGATTGCTGTAAAGATACATATATATGTGTGTGTGTGCACTTTTGTATTTCACTGATGTCATACATATGTGTGTTGACAGACATTAATACACATTCTTGCTGTATGATAATGTCAAATGTTTTATCTCGCTTTTAAATTAGGCAGATGTAATTACAGATGTGCTAGCATAGCCTGAACCAGCCCAAAGCCAAATATGTTTGCATTTGTCCACGTTGCTCATCATCATCTACAGAGTGCAAGAATAATGACTATTTTTAGTTCTTACCTCTCTCTCTCCAGTACACTTCTTGCACATAAGACAGATGGACTGTCTACTTGCTTCTGTCTTTTCCTTTTTTGTGTATGCTGTCGATAAATTCTTTTATCCTGAGCTTCCTTTTCCCAATATAATCTGAAAGCAAATGAAAGAAAAAGGTGAAACATGAAAACAGTTTGTTTGTTTCTATCTTATTTGCCAAGCTCTATTTTCTGTACTTGTATATTTTTTTTATGTTTTTAAACAGCATTCTAACAGTCTAAGGAAAAGAAAATCTGTGTCAAGAGTCTGACAGCTTTTCTGCACTAGGCTGAAGTAGGTTGCTGAATGGTACTCACCTATCCGCCAATAAATTTCCGTAAATCTATCCACAGTATCTACCAGGCATGTTGTAAACGTTAAAGTTGGACAAATCATAATTTAAAAGCCTAGCTTATTTATTCAGTGATTACTTTCTTCTCAAGAAATAGATTTGGTGTTGATTCGCTCAGGTTTTGAAGTCTATGTCCAAACGGTACTTTTAAAAATATACAAACAATTATTTGGCTCCAACAAAAACCTTATTTTAATGAGTGTCTTTGCCCAGTAGGTCCCAGTCTAACACTGAGCTGCACTTAGGAAATATGAGCTATCTGCTGTTGCGGTATTTTTTCCTTCAAGACCCTGTGTCCTGGGCATAAAGAAACATTTTAGCTGCAAGAGCAGAAGAGATCCTGATAATTAAGAACCAGTTCTTACAGCATCCAAAAAGCTGCTGTAAGACTCAAAAGCCTCTTTGATCTCCAATACAGGGAACGATCTGTGAGGAGACAGTTCTACAAAAGTCTGTTTGTTTCATTACCAACATGAACCTTTCCTCCCTCCCACAAAAGAAGCAGCAGTCATCAGTGACCACCTTAATAACATAATCAGCTTACCTGGTGTGTATATAATAAGGCTATTCATGGAACAAACACTCGTGTAAGCTAAGTGCTACATACATCAATAAAACAGTGTCACTTTGCACTAGCGTTTTACAGTAGCTTTTTACAAACTCCTTTTAGCACAACATGTAGTTAGTTCTCAGAAAAAGTTTGTTGTGACGTAACCTGCTGCCCTTTAACCAATCAGTTTCTACACATTACAATAAAAAAGCAGAAAAACAGCAAAACAGTGACATTTACAAGCCATACAAACCTGTGTTGCATTATTTTTGTTTCTTTTGAGCCTTTTGCACTTGTTTGTAATCTATATAAAAACAACAGAAAGTGGGCATGAAACCCATATAAAAGCATAGAAATTGTTGCAGCACAACTTTTCCCTCATGTACTCTGGAAAATATTTCCTGTAACATCAGTCTCTGGCTTCAGTATCAAATCTTGAGACTGCACAGCCCCACATTTTGTGATTCAGCACTTCCCCAGACTATTGATACAATTTGACCACGTTGACAGTTGAGATTTCCAGAAGATGACTCCAAACCATAACCAGAATAATCCGTGAGTGAGTTCAACAGAAATCTCCTGCTTATTCCACCTTATAGACTTATCCATAACCACATTCAGTTTTAATAATTATCTAACAAAATGTTGAAGTAGGCATCTCTACTGGGACAAAATTTGCCTCTCCCTTCAAACAGTGGCATGCCTGAGCGTAACAGGACAAGGAAATGATATAAAACACACACACGGGCATTTAGTTAATTGTCTCCACAGTAAACAAAATTTCTTCAGTAACACTTGTTCCAGATATTTTGTGTGGGCATTGGGAATATAATAGCGTGGGCATTTTTGGTGGACTTAAAATTAAGATAATTCTTATTAAATAATCTACAATTTGAAATAATTGACAGTATTGCGCACCAAATAGTATTATGCTTAAAACAGGAAGATCATGTCAGGAGAAGACACTAACATATACAAACATGATTTTTTTCCTATGGCTTCAGCATGCTTTTCCTAAAGATTTCAATTCCTGAATAACTTATCAATTCAAGCAACCTGATACGACTTTTCCTCTTTAAATAACGGCAAATTAAAACATCTACATTTTTTGCTGTGCTACAATATACTGCATAGCATATGACAAATACAACACACAGTATGCTTAAAAAAATTGCTATTTTTAAATTTGATTGCTCAATAAGCAATTCCTTCCTTCTACAATTAGATTTCCCTATTTAAAGGAAAAAGACTAACGAAGAAATTCCGCAAAGCCAAACACATAGCTGTCTAAGTATTTTGCAAGCATGGCAATATTCCTGTACCTTGTCCTATTTAGGACTTGTCAGAACTGAGGCAAAGAGTTTTACTAGTCTGAATCCATGCAGGCGGAGGCAGAAATGAAGTTCGGGGCTCCCTGCGTCTAAGGCTAGCCGGAGGGCGTGACACGTGTCTCCGAGCCCTGACAGGTTACGGGCGATTTGGGAAGAGGCGCTGCAGCCGTGCTTGCCTTGCCAGCTGCTGGGGAGCCGAAGCTGTGCAGGGGTCAGGAAACAAGCAGGAATAATGAATAAAGCAGGAAATTCAGCAATTACAGCTATGGTGAGACTGCAAAGTGAGACTGAAGACATCACCACACAGTTTTCACTTCGTTTCCTTTTTTATAAAAGCAAATAAAATGAAATCCTGTTTCTCCTGCAAATACATTAAAAAAGCAGTTAGAGAAACTCCTAAAAAATAAAACAAGCCGAACCCCAGGGACAGTCTGAAATGCTCCCTATCTAGCAGTCGGTGTCCCTGGGCTTTCCACAGGCACCTCGCGGGGACCCTCCGGCTCCTCCGGCGCCTCAGGGCTTCGGCGCGCACTCGAGCGCCGGCTATAGCCCCCGTTAACACCTGCTAGCCCCGGACGGAGGCCGAGGCCTGCCTGGCCCTCAGGGCCACCGCAGGCCCTCCTGGTGCGGCTTGACGGGTGCCACAGCGCTGAGTACAGCGGGCTCGGGGGGACGCCACACAGCATCCGACCCTCTGGGAGGAGCGGTATTTTGGGAGGATCGCTGGGGAATAAAACTAGGAAACTGGGTAGAACGATGCTGGGGGAAAAAAGAGTAAAAATAGGTGTGTAGGGCTCGCTAGGGAGCAAACATAGCGAGCTCTTCTGGCACCTTCCTGCGGCTCTCCTAGTTGTAATACAGGGAAGGAAATTCAAATTTGAGTGTGAGGATGATGATGTACATATATACATTAGCGGAAAGAATGGGAATGAAGCACTAGGGCATGAACCGTGCACAAAATGGAGGTGGACACCAGAGACGGAGCAGCTACGTGGAGCGCGTTTGGATGTGAGGCTGGCGCGTGAGGATGAGCCTTCACCACGAGTCCTTTGTATGCCTGTGCATATATGTTCGTTTACGGTGTTAAACAGATTTATGACAGACTCTACTTAGGATGAAATAAGTTTAATAGCATGCCGTTTCCAGACTGCGAAGGGTGTGTTTATGTGGAATGAAATGAGTGGGTGTGAGTAGGACAAACAGATGCAATGTGGTGAGACTACTACATGCGTATTTGTGTAAATATGTGTAAAATGGAAATTGGTGTTGTTTTCCAACTACAGATGATCACCTCCTAAAATCAGAGTAGTCAGTCACATCTCTGTTTAGTTTGTTGTACTGAGCAAAGAACACAAATGGAGTAAACACTAGACATCAAACCAAAAGAAACCCACACTGATACCTACAGCTTCTTCTGCACCTTGATTTCTTACCATAAACTTCTTCCAAGCAATTTTATACTCCTTCTTCCAAAAGGAGCAGCTCTCTGACACTAAAATAATTGTAATTTATCCCTTGGATACTATTGACTAAAAAATACCTATATTCAGCATGTGTCTGTGTGTTCATAGACAGAGTATGAATAATTCTATAATTTTCTAATGGCCTAAGAGAATGTAATTCAGTAAAGCTCCAAAGCCCATTTTACATATTCCACACTCATTGTAAATGTGTGTGTATATATTTCCAAGAAAATGATGGGGGACATTAAAGTTAAAATCACACTATTTTTAGCTGTTGAGGGAAGCACTAGCCCACTATTTTCCATCACTTTCTTAGTTTCTTAAAATCTACATGCACTGCAGTTAGGCTTTTGTGAAAAATAGCTCTGCAGAGGGTAAAAGCTTGCTCATTTTCTTTGATTTCAACTGCAATCAGCTTGCGGTCACTGGGGCTGCAGGTGCGGAGGCGCTGAGCTGCTTCTCCCATGTGGCGCGGCCGGCCGGCCGGCCGCCCTGTGACCTGTGACGGGGGCAGCTCGGGGCGGCGCTCACTGTGGGGGCTCTGCAGCCATGACCCTTGGCGTTCCCGAGTCCTCCGGGCTCTCTGCAGCTTATTAGGTTCGCGTTTGTGCAACTTGCTGCCTCATTTGCTTCATTGGTGTTACCGGATCCCTCCATTTCCTTTGGGTGACTGATTGCACTTGGGTGGCTGATTGCACTTGGTGTTCTGGCAGTGTGGTGTGGATCTGGAACACATTTTTCAGTCACTTTCAGCTGGAAAACTAATGACAGCGCTTGCAAATATAAGAGCTGCTCCACAGAAATTTTGAGGGAATTGAGCTAGAATCTATGTCAAAAGCAGGTTGGCAGTTTAGTTTCACCCTTTATGTTAGTTTCAGTGTTCTGCTCAGATAGATTTGATCACACTTAGTCAATGTATGTTGCCATTCTTGCTTCACAAATGGGTTCTTGCTTCCGAGATGGACTTTTTTTCCCTTGGAAAAAGAAAGGAAATATACTCTGAACATCAAAATTTAGGAAACAGTCATTTTTCACAAAAAAAAAAATTAAAGTAATTTGGGTGTTAATAGACAGACCTCAATCCCATTTTAACTGTAACGAGTAACCCAAATGTTCCAGGACTGACTCATACTTTGTAAACTGGCCAAGAATGACGTGAGTAAACATTTGCCAAAGCCAGCTCTTTTGCAGTAGACTGTTGTTAGCTGGCGTTTAATATGTTATAACAGCACTGGTCACAACTCTTCAGATAAGGTTCAGTCATTTATTGTATTGTAAAATACAATAAATATTTGTTATTTTACAGTTTTCTTCAGTTTTTTTCAAACTTTCACTCAGGTTTGTTTACAAATTATAACACTTGACACAGAATAAAATAGTGAATTTCAGGAAAAATTGGTAATTATGGATGTAAGAAGTCCTCAATCCACTTAAAGTGTATGGGTTTTAACCTTCTTCTATTGTCTCATGATATTGTCAGCCTATATACCTCAGTAGTGGTGAATTTTTGAAGCTCTGGGTGTCATAAAGGTAGAAAATAAGTTTGCCTCCTATATAATCTCCAGAAGGTACTTTGGGAGCACTTGCACTACTATTCTTAGATGTATTTGGTTTCCCAGAGCTAATGCTAGGGTGGGATTTATAACAAGGTCCGACTAAGATGCTACTTCCTGGAGGCTTTTTGGGCAAAAATGAATGAAGCTGCGTGTTTTAAGTTCTATTCAGTTTTTAGCACTAAGGGAAACAGAACAGAATTTGTAAAGACTAAGTTCCAGTTTCAATATTCCTAGCATGTTGTAGCTAATACAATGCTCTAGTAATTCTTTAGGTAAATGATTGGCACAATATCACTGAAAAACACTTGATAGAAAGTGAAAGGAAAACTTGTAATTTCTGTTCAGGATTATAATATACATCTTCTTCTTTGTAATTTGAAAACAAGTAGTTTTTATTTTAAGCAATCATTAAATGTAAAAAAAGTTGGCAACAGAATGCTGCCATGTGAAAATAATGTGTCTGAATATCATGTATAATTCTTTTAAAATTCGGCTGTTTGCTGTTATTTCATAAGAGAAAAAAATACTAAATCCTACTGAACACTGTAAACCATGATGTCAGGTTCTGACTCCCACAGTTACTACAGCAGGTTTTCAGATCTCCAGGCACCAGACAAGGAGCTCTTCTTTAAATCTCAAAAGAGATAGCTTTACAGCAGAGATGTGCCTTGAAGCCGGAACATTTATTCATGGATCAATGGGCAGCATGGCTTGAGAGAAGCTAGCAGCCTTGCTAGCAGCCTCTTATTCCTGTCAGTATGTTTTGATGTTAGACTGGGGGGGATTTGTCTAGCAGTTGAAAGGAGTCCTGAGATGGAAAGAAAAAAAGCGAAACAAGATCAAACAAAGGCTTGATTACATACTGTTTAAATAGGAGCTTCCAGCGCATATATATTGCAGGTTTTTAATATTAAACTTAGCTCCATTACTTTTCTGTCTAAGTAAAAAAATTGTACTTCTATAAGTATATGAGCATGTAGTGGTCAAAATGAGCAAGGCGAAGGCCTGGTAGGCAAGCTGTTAATTTGATATTCATGCAGGGAAAAAAGGCTGTTATGCCTTGGAACTTCCAGGGGGTGTATTATCTTGGTCCAGTTTACATCCTGGTTGGAGCTAGAAGTTACTCCTTTTGGTAGGGACAACATTATCCGGATACAATGTTTTTGTCATACTAGTGTAGAAAGGGAGATACGGAACTCAAGGGTGAGCACTGTTATAACAAAATAACCTATTCAAGGGCTTGCACTAGCAGAAGTGTTTCCAGTGTAAAATCATGCTCTTAACTGAAATTAGTATATTACCACAAAACCATCACCTGTATCAGAGCACGTGCCAGAAGTCCTGCCAACAATTATATTCAGATGTTTTTTAGTTGGCGAAAGTGTATTACATTTAACTGATCAGATTTTGTCTGCAAATATTCACTGATATTCAGTGTGAACAAGGGTTTTCAAGCATTTAAACGGTGTTCAGAAGGTATTTCCAGATTTTGCTGTGGTGAAATCCTCCAAATGTAGCTTAATGCAGTACTCTTACTGAATCTCTTGCCATGCTGCTCAAAGAAATAGCTCTTACAAATCAATCTTAAATAATATGCAAACTCTAAAGCTAAAACAGGCAAATTAACACAAAATGCCACAAAAGGTGTTGCTAACTGTATCTGCTTCTGATCCTTTCAGCTTAAACATCCTGTTTTTCTGAGATCAGTCTTGGAATTAGAGATTGCTTTTGTCTTTTTTATTTTTAAAAATGTTCTTGTTTTGCTTGTTAGCATACAGAAATGGATCTGTACAAAACACATTTTAATTATTCACTATGTTCCGGATGCTAAGAGACTCAGTCAAATCTATATTTGGAAGCCTAAAACTCCGTTTTTATATTAAGAACCAAATGCATCCAGGGATTAGTACTTTTCAAAACTTCCCAGTTTTATCAAATAAGTAGTTATATCCAATTTATTCCTTCATAGTAAAAAAGGTCACAGCATTTGGCCCAAGAATTATGTTATAAAGCTTAGCAAAACCAATTTCCAAATAGCTGAGTTGTTTTTTGTGGTTTTTTGGGGGGGGCACGGGAGGGGAGACTAGTCTGTAAAGTACTCTAGTGAAGGATAGCTTAGCTGAATATAAACAATGTACTTTGTGCTGCTTGATACATACAGCAGTAGTCCCAGATGACAAACCTGTTTTAAAACATTAACTGATGGAAGCTTTGTCAAGTAAGAATCTGAATGACAGATGCTGACCTATATATATTCCAAAAGATCTCTAAAACTTGCTTCCAGTTAGTAGATGGTAGAGATGCCTTAATGGCTTTGTGATTCTGAGAGTTATTCATGCTCCAGTTTTTTCCTCTGTGTTCATGCCAGCAATGTGGGATTAGTATTCTCTGAAGGGGGTTTTCAACAACAAAATTTGTATAAATGTAGGTGTGTTTGAAGCAGACCTCTGTTACAACAGCTTAAACTGGAAAAACTGTGTAATCTTTATTTTGTTGTTTAATTTTCTCAACAGATATAAACAGAATGATCCCTAAACTTGAAATTCAACTTGCATGAATTATGGTATCTCATATATAAATATATTAAAGTAACAGGGGAAAGGGTTCAGTTTGAGGTAGTTATGTGATTGTTCATGTTGATATATATATAGACATAATTACAGGGAAATTCTAACATAAATGTAACTTTCCTCTTACCTCTTTTGCAAAACAGTATTATTTTATTAAATCTTACGTGCCATTTTTAAATGAGAAATGTATTTTGTGATAGGTAGAATTTTAGATCACCTAAAGCTCAATTCACTTGCTTTTTGAGTGTGTAGGTTTTTAGAGTCTTGGCAACACAAGCAAACACAAAGCAAATTCATTATAAAAATAAAATTTCTATCCTTTGATAGAAGGATAGAAGAAAGTTTGATAGAAGAAAGTTTTTCCCCTTTAATATTTCTGATTATTGTTAATTTCTGTATTCTTCCAAGCAAGCAAGTGC